AGATAATGTATTATAGTGGTGGTGTTCACTGTGACATTTGTGCCGAGAGGGCCGTGTTAAATGTCCAAAGGCCAATTATTTTGACATTTTGTCATCTGTCTTGTTATACCAGGATTAGGGGTCTTAATAAAATATAACATTCTTGGGTTTGAATCGTTTGAATTGGTACACATGGGGGGGGGGGGGGGGGGGTCTGATTAGATGTGGATCTTATAAAGAATTCAAAGTTACGTGAATGGTTGATACCTGTGCTGAAGTGTTTCCAGATGAAACCTCCTAATATCCAAGTCTATTTTAGAATAACAAATCCATGTGAATAAGACAAATGTTATGGACACGAACCACATGCACATGGAGGTGTTATGAATAATTTATTATTATGCAAATGTACGTCCGTGGCCATAGCAATTAAGTATTATTTGTCAGGTATTTCCATGACAGGATTAAACACCTTTCTTAATCCCATAACCTCTGTGTACGTATACCTCCTATTCGTAAGTACTTTCACGTGCATCATGTCAATTATGAACTGAATTCCATGCACATGTAATAATGTTTTAAACTGCACACGAATGGAGATCTGATGTCTACAACGTGGGAATTGGCTGGTTGTACGTCGACATACCCCAACGGCGAGGATGATTTCTCAAGCTATCAGAAACCGGTGTATCTGACCCTGACGTCACAATGATTTCCCGTAACATCGGAACAACGTGCCATAAAGCATATAATAACTATTGAATATATATCAGAATACAGTAACCTACACCGTCATGTTCCTCAATGCAAACATCTGGTTGTTTTAAAACTGCCATTGTGTTAATAATTTGCATTTCATATTTATCACGGGTTATGTTTATGTTAAATAATACTCACTGAGCATTGTTATTTGTGCTACATTCTGATTTGCATGTTCACTCCAATTGTTTTCATTGTTTAAGATGTTCATAACAACAATATTTCCGGAAATAATTTACGATAGTTGTGACGTCGTTCCAAAAGAGACTAGATAAGAAAACTCATATAGTCTTTTTTTTTTCTATGGACCCGTTAAAATTCAGGGTAGAATGGGTCTTCAGCAACCAATGCTTGCCGTAAAAGGCGAATAATCTTGTCGTAAGAGGCCACTAACGGGATCTGGTGGTCAGGCTCGCTGACTTGGTTGATGCATGTCATCGATCCCAATTGCGTGGATCGATGCTCATGATGTCAATCACTGGATTGTCTGGCCCAGACTTGATTATTTACAGACCGCTGTCATATAGCTGGAATATTGCTGAGTGCGGCGTTGAACAACAAATAAACAAACAAGAGGCAAACTTTTTACAACAAGTTCATGCATGTAGAAATAACAGAGCAACCTTTTCATCTGATAAAAATACCCAAGAAAATATGAACGGTCTTGTCGATTTGACATATCTCTCAGTGACAAAGGAAGTGCGGATGGCGACATTCATTTCACGATTTCTTTACATTTAACATCGTAAAACATAAAAACCAACCCAGAAAAGGCTAGGAAAACTCTCCCTAACCCCCCTAACCCCCCAAACCCCCACAAGCCCTTAGATTTCCGTCTGTTTGATGACACCTTAAAGCTTAAACTATCTGTTTTCCCTTTCATGACCCATGTCGTCAAACAAGCATAACCCTGCACATACTTTCAACACCTTCACAGGTCACTCTTGACCAACACTGACCACAACACTATCGTTACCTTAAGACTTAGCAGTGGCTTCTAATCACTTTGACCACCTTCTAGCGATTCACAGCTTTTAGTCAAAGAATAGTCACCAAAGATCGTAAGGTGATTTCACTAGGTTTTCGTTCCAAACCAAACATTTCCTACAAAGCGTTATAACTACTCTTCGGTGGAATTTGGCTTATTGGCTTGACTATCTGGCTTGGTAACAGGGTGGTGTTAAAGGGTTTTGGCAAAGGCCGGGCTACGTTAATCCATGCCTAAAAGTGACTGGGTTTTGCAGCAAGACACCAACATGTCTGGCATATTTCTTTAAGCTGTAAAGCTACCGATCCACGCAGTCTGCTACGTTTCTACATGATCTGTCCAAGTCGGTCGGTGTATCCCCGCCCGATGACTTACAAACCTGAGTAAACTCTCTTTTTTTCCACCGGACGAAGGCGAATTTTATTCTGTTTAAGCACGTGTCCTAACTGTAAAAAAATGAAGACTTTGAGATTCGTGATTTATGCTTGGAAACAAGCGGGAGTTTCATCTTCCCGTGATGACTCTGTACTTGTGGTCAGCAAACAATGCAGTAGCCTTACACATGTTCAAAGGAACACCGGCACTTATCAGCTGATGAATGAAATATTTCAGTGGCTATTTAGGGTCACTGCTGTTCGTATATTAACTGATGGAATGCAGCGGAAGACCAAGATGTGCGGATACGATAGGGGGCGTCGTTCACAACTACTACACAACATCACATATGCGACATAATGAACGATATCTCAAGTAGTAGTAGAAGTGAGTTGGGTTTAACGCCGCTTTTAACAGTATTCCAGTCATATCGCGGCGTGTCAGCTTAATGTGGGAGGAAAGCCCGAAGTGATGCAGGTTTCAGACGTTTACCACTTCGGTGAAACCCACGAGCACGGGTATGGTGCTGACAAACCTAGAAACATAATTTGGGCGAACCGGGATTCGAACCCACAATCATAGGTTTCTGGCGTGCCCAAGGGGATATCTCAAATAAAAAAGGCAGGTTATACCATAGAGTGTGATTTGTCACCTCTACCTTCATTATGTCATATGTGGGACCCCTTTCCCCGACTTCAAATCAGTTAAATATAATGGTTGCTGTTTAAACATAGGATCTTTAAGACTGATTCAAATGACAAAGCTGATTTGTTGCAGCAATATCGCTTGTTCAAATATTTATAACAAGGAAAACGAACTAATCTCCACGAGAATATAATTTACGCTTGCATGTAAGGTCACATGCAAGCATATGTGTAATAGGTGTGTGTATATAAACCTTATATCAAACGGATATAATAGGTATATAACATAAATGTGTGGTATGAGTCAAGGGTATGCACTGTGCCCGCAAAGATTAGATGCTTAATCTAACTCCCAAATGAAATAATACATACTTAAGTCTAAAAATCCCCTAATACAAATTACATCTTTTGTCAATAGAACAAAACAATGTTTAGACAATGGAACTTGACAAATTAGAACTCACGTCTACTGTAACACAACAATGGGGGTTTAGCCTTTTAATTACAGTATTATAAGCTCTTAAATCTTTTCTATAGCTTTACAATGATCGGATATACAGCCAACTTCAGGGGATCCAGCGGCATGTAAACGCTTGACAAAATCTGAACTGGTGTTACGGGCACACGCTGGGATTCTGGTGGGTAGTTTCAGTAAGCTCTGTCATTCAATTGAGCTCTCCCCCTTTCTTTGATCGGCTCGTGTTGGAAACAGTTGGTCTGTCATATGTGAAGTCGAGTGGGACAAGCTGGCCCCTGATATATGCATACCGCTTCCCCTGCGTTGGTTGGGTGGCTACATGCACTTTCTGTGGGCGTATTTGTAGAAATTATTATCTTCCATTTTCTTTACATGGCTCGTGTTTGAAACTTTTGATATTCATATGTGACGTCCACAAGGACAAGCGTACATACCTGCCATCTGATATAAACATATTATTTTATCGTTTTCCCTGTGCTGGTTAGGGAGCAATGTGCACTCTACGTATTTGTGTGGAAGCTAAGCTATGGCCATGTGTCAGTTCATATGTAGAAATCGACAGGCCACGTACATGACAATTATGTATATAGAAATTGGCATGTTATTGACATCAACTAGTGTATATGCAATTCTAGTATATTGACAAGTCTTGGCCTATGCCGTTAAAATGCTATGCACGTATAGATCCGGCATGTAAAAGCTAACTGACAAATAACATATATTCATTAAGATATGTGTATATATGGAATGAACCAGTCAAGCATACGTATATGTAAACAGTTGAAGACCTATGCACATACTTCAAGTAAATGTAGAAATTGACAAGCAGTATACTTGCACTAGCACACATGTACCTATCCACTGTACTTGTCTACGATATACATGTATGTAAACACTTGACAACTTATGTACACATACGTGAACTAGTATTTATGCATTGAAACTCGTCTAGCATATACGGGTCTGTAAACACTTGACAACGTATGTACGTATACGTGAACTAGTATTTATGCATTGAAACTCGTCTAGCATATACGGGTCTGTAAACACTTGACCTATGCACATAACATTTTGGTAAAAGTAGAAATTTACAAGCAATGTACATGCACTAGTATCAAGTGCCTATGAACTTGTATACGATATACATGTTTGTAAACATTTGACAACATATGCATATATATTAATATATATGTAGAAATTAACAAATCTTTCTCTTAATACCTAACGTTTTAACTCGCAGTGTCCCATGTTGATTGGGATGCAGTACTTGACGTGGTATGCGAACCTATCAGTTACAGCGCTGCATACCTCACATACCTAGCTGTACATTGCTAGTACATTGGTTCAGTCTGTCAGGCCATTCATCATACAACCCTACTGGATTTAAATACACGTACAATTCTTGTCCGAGGAAATCTAAACTACCGACTGCATTCATGAACAGTCCATTGAAGAATGGGTCTTCACATAAGGCACATCCATAGAAATCGAATATATCGGATACTGTGTAGCCATTATTTTTATGTATACAACAGTAACAGTCCACGTTTTCGTACACCGCATGTCCACGATACTGATTGTTATTATATCATGCTTATTTCATTACGAATTCCTACCTGTGACTCATTGGTACCACAGCTTCCGTTCATAATACTAACTGTCATTGTCAAATATAGTTATTTTATTGAAAGCCAACTTAGTCTGAAAGACAGTATACAACCCTCTGGTACCGACTGTCAATGACGTGGATTTATTTCAAGTAACGTGTGATGCCTACCTGTGGTTGGCTCTGGGAGAAGCGTCCGTTCTGAGACGACGTTGACGACGACGATGATGGTTTCCTCTGCAACGCCGTCGTCCGAACCTCCTCCATCTGCTTCTGCTGCTGCTCACGCAACAGCTTCAACTCCTCCAGCCCCTGAGCACTGGCTTCCAACCTCGCCCTCATCCTCTCATTGTCCGTCCGTCTGATGATGGGTACCCTCACGCTCCCAGGGAGCTCACTGAGGGACCGGCTCCTCCTCATGACGGGCACCTGTCCGGGTGGGGCACCAGCCCGGGGGATAAGATCCTTGGCTTGGTCTTTGGTCATACTTGTCATGACGCCCTCACTGGGTTCTGGTTCATATGTGCGTGTGTGTTCATACACTCACGTCCTGTGACCAATTACTTTAAAAACGTGATTACAAGTTCCCGAATGAAACGTCATCTATTGTAGGTTGAAACGCTCAAATAACTCTGTAAAACTCTTCCCCTCCGTAACACCAACTCTCATAATTACGCGTATTATCCAGACGTGGAGAGCTGAGGGACAATCAAATCATTGTCGTGAACATCCGTTGTTACAGGAACACAAAACATGTCATACTTTAAAAACGCTAGTCGCCTTGGCATGCGTTAGGCAGTGTCTTGTTCGGGTCCGGTTCATCAATACACAACCCCGGACTCAGATTATCACCTGCCTCCTGGGTCCGTCTCCCTGTGCGACTTTCAAAGCCCTCACGTTATACAACCTCCGTTACAGCCTTCATTTAGGTCTGTTCAGTCTTCAAGGGTTAATAATTAATTCACAAATCACAGATAAGAATCACCAGCAACTATGCCAGATATGCCAGTAATTCAATCACGTTAAGATAAGCTGTGATATAATCGAACAAGCATAGACAGTACTTTGTGAACATAGATTCCAGATTAAATAAAACACATACGTAGTGTTTGCCACAGACTGTCAAGAGACAGGTTTATACTACCACCGTGACTTACATATGTTTATGTGCCCCCCTACATGGGGTAGACACCATCACAGACGATCACAGACGGTGTTGGCTATTCCACGACATAAAGTTCAATCCAGCTCGTGTTTACCGCCCCGCCAGGTGAGAGACTGCTTACATGAATCATTCCTCTTTTACCTACACACAACGCATGGAATTCCTCAACACAAAAGGCGTTCCGTTGAACCACTCCAAATGATCTCGGGTACGGGAATAAGTCACGTTGACGTCATAGCTGGATTTCAACCAGTTAAAAAAATCCTTTCTCCACCCATAAGTAGTCCGATGCAGTACAGACTAAACTCACACTCCCAACGCAAGCCCTATTACTGTCCCTTTGAATAACTCAAGCACAGACATAGCTGATCAGCTGATCTCAACTCTTCAGCCCACGTGTCGGAGGAGGGAGGTCCTCTGCACCACTGCAGGCGCTACTGTTGCTATACCCACACGCCAGTTCACGGAACGCCGTCTACAGCTTCATATCGAGACGAGTTCTGACTGCATTGGAGGACGGTATTGACACAGCGATTGGCAAACTGCAGTCCGCGACCGTCCCACACAACTGATGCTTAGCCGGGCATTGGAGTATGACTGGGCCTAATGTAGGTACCCCCAGCACACAACCCTGCCTCACTCAGCTCTCGGTCTCGTCTTCGGTAGGACTCGCTTACTCGGTGTCTACGCTACACGTCAATTATTAACAACGAACCTCAATATCAGCCTATCTCGTGAACTTGTTTAACCGCCACCACTGTGAAGTAAATGTTCGAGACATGTATTTGTATTTTAATATACTATTGATAGGTATTAACAGGCTTTATTAACGATATCCGTTGTTTCAAAAATAGTTATAATGCCATATTGAGTAGATACTGTAAATAGTCGTATATCTATCTTCTCCGACCTAGGTTACCTCAGTACAAGTTCAGACACACTATGGTGACAGTAACCTGTAGATACCTGTACATAGATTAGATATCGCAGAGGGAAGTCAAGTTGTAATAAACAAAGATCCTAAGGACCCTGGTTACTAGAATGGACCCAATATTACGTTCCTCTGTATACTCATTATTCCGTTTAGATTAAACTATATCAATAAATGTGCTTAAATCTGCGATATTTCCTCAGTGTCTGCCCGGCTCCTTTTAATTGAAATCAAGACATACATATCCCTGGGTGTTAGGATCTTCTGGTTATGAAGCGGTATTGTATTATAAACATGTCATATGTTGTGGGCGTTGTGTCCTGTACGCCTTCACTTGACACCTACGTTAGAGTAAACAGGTGGATACTGCCTTGAACTTGGCTATGTTTATGAGAAACAATAAACTAAAAGACCTATCTTTTTCATCCTCTTATGCTGATGGTCTCTCCTGTGGTGCCTGAATACTCTCTCTCTCTCTCTCTCTCTCTCTCACCCCTCTCTCTCCTCACCCCTCTCTCTCCCTCTCCCTTTCTCTCCCCACTATCTTTCCCTATCCCTCTGCCCCTCCCTCTCTCTCTGTCTCCCTCTCTCTCTCTCTCACCCCTCTCTCTCCTCACCCCTCTCTCTCTCTCTTTCTCTCTCTCACCCCTCTCTCTCCTCACCCCTCTCTCTCCCTCTCCCTTTCTCTCCCCACTCTCTTTCCCTATCCATCTGCCCCTCCCTCTCTCTCTCTCTGTCTCCCTCACTATCTCTATCTCTCTCTCTCTCTCTCCCCTTACCTTTCTCTCCCCACTCTCTCTTTCCCTATCCCTCTGCCCCTCACTCTCTCTCTGTCTCCCTCACTATCTCTATCTCTCTCCCTCTCTCTCCCCTCTCACTCCCTCTTTCTCCCCTCTCTCCCTCTCTCTCCCTCTACCTTTCTCACCCCTCTCTCCCCTCTACCTTTCTCTCCCCTCTCTCTTTCCCCATTCCTCTGCCCCCCTCTCTCTCTCTGTCTCCCTCACTATATCTATCTCTCCCCTCTCTCTCCCTCTTTCTCCCTCCCCCTCTCTCCCCCTCTCTATCTATCTCTCTCTCTCCCTCTCTCTCTCTTTCTCACTCTCCCTCTCTCCCGTGTCTCTCTCCCTATGTATCATCTCCGATGTTCCCAACTTTTTTAAATATATTGTATAACATGAATCTGCAGCTACCCTTACATACTGTGTTCATTTTGTCGTATAACCTTTAATATCCATCAGCGATGACGCTATACGTACACACCAGCTAGATGTCCGGTCTGGTTAGAAGACTGTCCGCTTCAGCTACTTTGTTGAATGTTGCGGAGAACTATATCTACATTCCTACAGCTCGTCCTATTGAAAACATACACACCGGAGGAAACAGCGAAATACCACGGCTGGGACCCTTGCAAACAGTTACAACCAACTTTTGAATAACCTTTACATTGGAGCACAACTCGGAACAAAGAACAGTTTGTTAACTTGTATTTCTTGGTGTGTACCTATCGTACTTGTTTAATGGTAGCCTCGGATTAATACCTCATTAATCACTTGTCGAGTGTGCGTGTTTCTTACACCGTGTTGCACCTGTTGATTGTTCAACTCACAAACCTATCGCTGATTGTCAGGTAGCCGGCGCTTGCTTGTTACGAGCAGTGACACTTACTCGCCGTTATCTATTCTTATTACCTATATCCAGTTGGCGGAGGAGTAGATTGTTATACCAGGGTTACCTCCCTTGGACTGTGATTGACGGGCCCTATCGACGCGGGGATCATAATTTGATTTGCGGATGTATTTTTGTCTCGTAAAACGTTTTGTGCAGTGAATATAAATTTATAGCTTTGCTTTACTGCAGGTGGGATTCTGAATACCTGTGGCATGAAGTCACCTAGGAATTTGATTACTCTGCAAACGGACATAGCAAAAAGTGAAAGAGTAAACGAAATTATTTTTATCCCTGCTAAATTAAGTAGCTTTTAAGCGCCCCAAATCATACTTGCATAGTAAACCTATAGACATAATTAAACACGTACGAATTCGTTTTTTAGTGATTAAATAATATTGACAAAGAACGACCACGTCCGATAAACTTTGTTTACTGTTTCATTAAGCTGAAGGAAATTCTTTTAACGATGCAACTTTTTATGTGTGCTTAAGAATGTCAAAGAAGATATCATCTTATCTCAAAGGCTTACATTGTGATTTGAGGATTGAAGTTATTCCATTTACTCGCGTGTTGTTCTTGCATTTTGATAGCGTTTCAGTGTTTGCTACGCATGAAAAAAAATCGTTTGATAAGCTGTTAGTTATAGATTCTAGGCGTGTCATTGTGTTGTATCATACGACTTGCGCCATGGACGCCAACACGAGAATACCCTTGTACTCAATCAATCAGTTGGGCGTGTGTTAGTTTCAATTAATGGCGTCCCCGGATCACATGTGGAGACTTGTGTGAACCACCCTACCCTGCCTTCAAATGTATAGTTTTACCACTTCCCTTGCTATATCATGTCAGCGCAGAACTATATTATGTTTTATTGTTTAACGCTGCACTCAGCAATATTCCAGCTATATGATGGCGGTTTGTAAATAATTGAGTCTGGACCAGACAATCCAGTGGTTGACATCATGAGCATCGATCTACGCAATGGGGACACGATGACATACACACGTTCACCTGTATTTGACTATTGCTTTGGGTTGTGTAACAAAACACGATTTAATTGTCATGCGTTTTAAATAACTCAGGATCACTCCGAGTACATATGTAGGTTTATCACCGTTTTAAAACATTATTTAAAGAGGGCTAGGCTCGGGCCATTGGCAGTCCCAGCAAGATTGATTGGGGTCCTTCAAATCCTACTTTGTTCGCCTGACTCAAACAACACAGGTGCATATAATGACTACCTTATCTACATAAAGACACTGTCTCTCTTTCGTACAGTTAGATACCCATTAGTTGGACCCAGTGAGACGGTGAGGTATTGGACTAACTAGGACAAAACCTACAGCTGTGACGAAACAGTTCTAGTTAGAGGAAGAAGAAGAAAGAAGAAGAAAATTGTTTTATTAAAGTGTCACATGCTGCAGTACTAAATATATGGACATATAAAGATTTCAATAAAAAAAACAGCACCCGGCCAGTTTGCCTACGAGACACTAATTACATAATGGTACATTTAAAATATATAAAAAAAAGAAAGGAAAAATTAGTTGCAACTTTGTATATTACTACACCCACGCCCACACCCACACCCACACCCACACCCACACCGATACACCCACACACACATCCGCATTAAAATCCCGCTCAAAGCATTCAAACAGGTAAGCATACAAACAGGTAAGCATACAGGACGCTCACAGCAATCTCATACAGGACACTCACAGCAGTCTCATTCAGAACAATCACAACAATTTCATACAGAACACTCACAACAATTTCATACAGAACACTCACAACAATCTCATTCAGAACACTCGCAGCAATCTCGTACAAAACACTCACGGCAATCTCATACATGTCATACATCTATACACATATGCATCCATAGAGCACTCTGCTCAGAGCTGTGTATTGGGCTCACAGTGTAGGTGCAGATATGTGCACTTGTAATTGATAGTTTACTAAATGTGATTACAGCTTACGTGTTTAATCCTCTTTCCCATTACCAATACAAGCAAGCGAGGTACATTTGGTAAGCGTTATCGGTATAGTCGCGACCTAAACTGGATATGGGCACCAGAGCATGGAACAATGTCCATCTTACTGAGTGAGTATCGTTTTACACCGCTCTTATATTAAAGCAATATCACGCCGATTAACACCAGAAATGGGCTTCACACATTGTACCTATGTTGGAATCGAACCCGGGGATTCGGTGCTTTAACCGCTAGGCTGCCCCACCATCCGAAAGTCCTTCTTAAGGTCACGATGTATAATTAAGTTTCATGCGAGACCATTACCAAAATGACGCGAGCAAAGGAAGTTTTAAACTTTGTGCGAAAGACAGTGTTCTACCCACGTACGTGTGACCCATATAATCGCTTTATGTTTTTTTTAGGGTTGGTGGTTGGGCTTGGGTGAGAGGGTGGTGGGGCTTGGGTGAGAGGGTGGTGGGGCTTTGGCGAGAGGGTGGTGGGGCTTTGGCGAGAGTGTGGTGGGGCTTGGGCGAGAGGGTGGTTGGGCTTGGGGGAGAGGGTGGTGGGGCTTGGGCGAGAGGGTGGTGGGGCTTGGGTGAGAGGGTGGTGGGGCTTGGGTGAGAGGGTGGTGGGGCTTGGGTGAGAGGGTGGTGGGGCTTGGGCGAGAGGGTGGTGGGGCTTGGGTGAGAGGGTGGTGGGGCTTGGGTGAGAGGGTGGTGGGGCTTGGGTGAGAGGGTGGTGGGGCTTGGGTGAGAGTGTGGTAGGGCTTGGGCGAGAGGGTGGTGGGGCTTGGGGGAGAGGGTGGTGGGGCTTGGGCGAGAGGGTGGTTGGGCTTGGGCTAGAGGGTGGTGGGGCTTGGGCGAGAGGGTGGTGGGACTTGGGGGAGAGGGTGGTGGGGCTTGGGCGAGAGGGTGGTGGGGCTTGGGTGAGAGGGTGGTGGGGCTTGGGTGAGAGGGTGGTGGGGCTTGGGGGAGAGGGTGGTGGGGCTTGGGCGAGAGGGTGGTGGGGCTTGGGCGAGAGGGTGGTGGGGCTTGGGCGAGAGGGTGGTGGGGCTTGGGGGAGAGGGTGGTGGGGCTTGGGGGGGAGGGTGGTGGGGCTTGGGGGAGAGGGTGGTGGGGCTTGGGTGAGAGGGTGGTGGGGCTTGGGTGAGAGGGTGGTGGGGCTTGGGGGAGAGGGTGGTGGGGCTTGGGGGAGAGGGTGGTGGGGCTTGGGGGAGAGGGCGGTGGGGCTTGGGCGAGAGGGTGGTGGGGCTTCATGATCAATTACTTTGAGTTGCTGGAACGGTTGGGGTTTCTGTCGATGTACTACTATGTATTATTAAGATGTTTTAGGTGAAACTTAAATAAACTAAATATTTCATAATAGACCCCGAGCAACGTGTTCATTATCCCTTGTCAGCATTGACTGGGTCTCTATTGTATTGAATTTCTAAACGGACAAAACATATCAACAGGAAATTAAATTTAAAAAAACATTAAAATAATACTCGTATCATAGGATATTCACTGTTGCGCGGAACCCTAATCTAACAGAGGATCCAAACAATAAGTTAATCTTAAAACGCCCGTGGTGTAGCAGTTGTTTCCGCCAACCGTCCGCTTCGGTTGGTTACTTGCTAATCTCAATGGGGTCTTTTACGGTCGAGGCGGTAGGACGTTTGGTGTGAGAAGTTAGCCTACAGGTGTTTATACACGTAATTATTTGATAAACCACATCAAGGGCGTTAAGCCTTGCAGTAGTGCCTGGTCACATCTTCATCAGCGAGTACTGTCAACTGTAATTTCCTTGTATTAATCACCACTACCCCGGGCGCTGATGCATGAGGTCCCCTAAGGGATATCCTCAACCCACCCTACGACCCCCACACTTGGAAAGGGGTAGATTTGTGCTTTATTACATAGTTAATCATACCCTTGAGAATGTTTACATTTAGACATTGTACACTGACACGCTGTTGAAATAGAGAAAAGTAAGCAGTGTGTATTTAGTCATTTTTATGTCTGTGTGTTTTTAATTTTTATTGCGTTGTAAGGGTGGCGACAGGCTAACAGTGTTTTTCACCAATTACAGCGTCTAGACGGAGACTGAAAGCTATGATGATGAATCGGAGACACAGGGCATGCTGAGTGTGAAAACGGTTCCACCAGAAGCACTCGTAAAATCAACATCATCATCAAGACATATTCATACAGAAGATGATCAATTTATTTACGTGTCACATATTGCTATATACAGTAAAACGAGTCTGATACCATAGAATGACCTATGAGGCACTAAACGTAATTGAAATAATACTGAATTAAAATGTAAATATATATGTTACACAGTAGGATACCCATATATTAGCCCCTCAAACATCATTCTGCACACATAGCAAATAGTACATGGTACTTGTATAACGTAATCCACACAGTTAACGTTGTACATAACTGCTGAGCCCAGTACTTACTTACTTAAATTAGGAATTTAACGTGCGCTTTCCGACATATGCGTATTTCGCAGGCCATTTTGTGTTTGGTCGAAAAGGGTATGTCCGAAAAGGTGAGGCAACCAAGGTGGGGCTTTTACGGGTTGCCTACTTAATTTGGAGAATTGGAATTTTGAAATATGGCATGCAAAAGGGGGGGGGGGGGGGGGGGGGGTGTTTGTGTGTTTTTATAGGTTTAGAAGTTTAGGGTTTATTGGCAGCTTGTTTGTTGTACTTTTGTTTTTTAAATGCGGCCAAGTAGGCAGGTTTTGATTAGATATATGCCTTGTGCTTTAAAGGTTTGTAAGCCAATTAGGGGGTTTAGTACCTTTGCAAGTGTCATTGCAACTATACTAAACCCCTAAATGACTTACAACTTAAATGACTGAGCCAAATAATACGCAAGCGGCTTGTCTAGGAGTACTGAATGAGAGTCAAACATCAAATGCATGCAGTGCCAGACTGTAGACACTAAGGTTGACCTCACTCTACCCTTCTCAACCTGTCGTGCAACATAGTCCTTCGGGTCCCAAAGGGAAAAAAGACAAACTGACCATCACGGTGGTTGCTACTCATTTAGATTCAGGGCAGCGTCCTTCCCATCTCCCACGTTGTGATCATCTTGTTTTGTAACTCATGGTTTCATTCGGTTACAGGATGCAATTCTCAATCTAAAATCACAAACTTACCCAAATACAGAAATCATAACTGTAAAGTCATGAGTGCACGTGACGGGATTCCCACCCGTGACTGATAAATGACTTAAAATCTCCCGAGTAGACAACCACAGAGGATACATAAAGGTAACACACAGTGAAGTCATCTCTAGAACATCAACATGGACATTATGCTACATATGAGGTGCAACTATTTACATATGTTCGGCTATGTTCTGCCAGGTGTAACATTTTTTTATCCAGAGCCAAGTCCTTTAGTTTTAATGTAAAACTTATATGAATTATGGGTACCGTATTCGACGTAATAAGCGCACAGGGCGCTCTCAAAATTAGAAATAGGGGTTCTTATTAGCATATTATTTTGGTGACAAAAAATTCTTATTAGAATATTATTTTGGTGACAAAAACAGAGTTGAAAGAATGTAAATTTCGTGGTTTATAGTGACAGCCGGACATGTTTACATACGACAGATATATGTTTCCAGAATTTAATTGCCCGTAATTAAGGGTGCATATAACACACGAGTGCGTATAATACACGAATAAATAAGTCGTGTGTATATTGATCAATCGGAAGGGGTGCTGATTGGCATTGTTTACTAGCCAAATATTAGCAAATATTGGGCGCTTATTAGAGCGGGGCGCTTATTGCGTTTAAATTATTAAATCTCTTATCGTTCTTAAAGATGATGTGAAAACGAGTTAACTGACAACAGGTACAGAAGGTCGCCCAAGCCTATGGTAGCGGATGCACACCGATGGCGATTAAGTGTCATTTTAAGGCGCTTCACGTGTTTATCTTTACTATTGAAAGTGCGAATTCTATCGAGAGTTTGTTTTATGTTATGTGATTTTCACCGATATTGCGGTCACATACCTGACGTTGCGCACAAAAACGTTAAACAAACTGTTGGGAATAGAACCTGAGGGTTGCATTCAACCCACGAATATGACCTGGTCCCAAAGGTTCTATATCAGAGTGTCACATGAGTTGTCTCCCTGTCAGCAGCACTTTGGCAACCGCCGCAAGACATGGATGGTAGTCCTGCACCATGAAAGTGGAATATATTTATTTTATACAAAAAAATCTAGAAATGCATACAAAAGCAAGTCTAGCCAGCTCAAGCTAGCTCTATTCTGAAATCAGCATAGGGATTTTTTTTGATTTTTAGAGTCAAGTAGGATATTGTGTAATATAAGATTTCAGAGACTAAATGTTAGTCTACATGGATGGATACGTCTTTTATTGTAGGATGTCGTGTACAAGCGGAAAACAAAGTCTCAGGGTCATGTTGAAATGTATAATTATTGGGGAGAAATGCGAAAATAAGAAAAAGGGGACCTTCGCTTCAGTTACCGACACAATATCTGTAGTGAGTAAACTTACCACAAGTGTATGACACTTGAGTGACAAGACAGCTTTCGAAACTGTAATCTGTGTAAATATATCCTTGTCCAAATAAGTGATAGAGGCGTAAAGTTAAATGTCTGAGTCCCCCTATGTTCAGTGTTCGAAATACCTGCCTGCCCGACCGTCCGAGACGGGTTGATTTCAACTCGGGCTGCCAGATTTTCAAATCCTCCTGCCCGACGGTCGGGTTATATTTCATATGTGAAAATTTTCTAAATATTTCCCGATGATAATCATTAATTCACATGTAAAGTTGAATGATAAAATGTAACCAAAAAGAAATCCCGTTAGCTTATCCTGAGAAACATATGATTATAGTGGGCAGGCAGGTTTTGGTCAGGGCTGGCAAGTATTTCAGCTAGCCAGTCCTGTGGTCTGGCTGAAATTTTTGGGAGTTTCATACCCTGCTATGTTCCAATCTTCATAGATGTAAGTTACAAAATGGCATACCTGGTGATTATGAATCGTCTTCAGTATTTGAAGTACCTCTTCAGATTAGGTGTAACCTAGACTAACATTTAGTCTCTGAAATCTTATATTACACAATATTCTTCTTGACTCTAAAAATAAAAAGAATTCCCTATGCTGTTTCTGATGCTGTGGAATAGAGCCAGCTTGAGCTGGCTAGACTTGCTTTTGTATGCATTTCTAGATTATTATTTTTTCATAAAATAAATATATTCCACGGTCATGGTGCAGGACTAGGTGTAACCATGTACTTTAAATTGTTTGACCATCTTGCGTGGCTTTTCGTAAACGTTAACGCTATTCATGAGCCGTATATCGAGGATGTCACATTTTCCCTGAATGAATATCAACATAGTATGCCATACACAATATTAAACAATGATAATAAAATGGCTTAACTTTAATCTCGTCGGTGCCGTATTATGAACAGGAAGAATTATTAACAGTTCACCCAAATCCTAATAGATTGACTTAAGGATTGTACACGACAGTCGTAAACGGATACTGTAATCCCGCTGTAACGATTCTGTAACTGTTTCGGTACATCATGATAAACGTTTGTGACTGAAGGCAATTATAGGATTACAGTTGGATGTGCGTTATCCGCGACTTACCTACGTGGTGTCAAGTAGGGGGCGAGATTGGACGCCCGTCGTCAACTTAGTACCTGATCTTAGGGCAGGTATTTTCTCCTGCAGGGTACTGTGGGAACAGACTATACAGGGCGGACTGGTTTTAATATAAGTCACACACATTTCCACGCAGACAGTAATGAGATATGGACTTAAAGGGATATTGTTTTGCGTATGAGGAGCTTTTAAAGATAAGCTTTGACCGGAACTCCATGTGTAAAATGTTACAGGTACTAACGTCAAAGGGACGTTTAAACTTAATTTATTTTATCCAAGGGTCCTGACGTGAACAGTAGCATTTACTTTCAATGAGGATTTGTCACCACTTCGCTATATCCGGATACGTTATATAGACGCTATATTGTCGATGTGATGTCAATTTTTAACTCAATCACTCGTTATAACGGTATTATGGCTATTTGTGGATGTGGTACTTTCAAGACAGCTATTGTGTTTGTTTGTTTGTTTGTTGTTTAACGCCGCACTCCGCAATATTCAAGCTATATGACGGCGGTCTGTTAATAATCGAGTCTAGACCAGACAATCAAGTGATTGACATGATGAGCATCGAAAGGGGATAGATCAACCAAGCCTGACCATC